TTGTAATAATATCTTTAATTCTCTAATTTTGGTGAAAATTTTTGTCATTTTTGGTAAAAAGTGATATTTTCAACTTCTTGTTAAAAACCGTAAGTCCAATTGCTTTGATATTACATATATAGGTACTACATGTGGACCTCTCTCAGATTTATTCATTTTGTAATGATATCTTTAATTCTCTAATTTTGGTGAATATTTTGTCATTTTTGGTAAAAAGTGATCTTTTCGACTTCTTGTTAAAAACGGTAAGTCCAATTGCTTTGATATTACATATATAGAAACTACATGTGGACCTCTCTCAGATTTGTTCATTTTGTAATGATATCTTCAATTCTCTAATTTTGCTTAATATTTTTGTCATTTTTGGTAAAAAGTGATATTTTCGACTTCTTGTTGAAAACCGCAAGTCTGATTGTTTTTAGATTACATATATAGGTACTACATGTGGACCTCTTTCATATTTGTTAATTCCGTGGTGATATCTTCAATTATCTAATTTTGATGATTATTTTTGTCATTGTTGGTGAAAAGTGATATTTTTGAATTCTTGTTGAAAACAGCAAGTCCCATTGCTTTTGATACTAGACATATTGTTCATTTTTTAATGATGTCTTCTGTTCTTTAATTGAAATGTACATTGCTAACAGCGGAGCTATCTCAGCCGACTGGCTGCTTGTTTATAGTATCATGTGTTTTTATTGTTCTTCAGATTCCTGCCTCTCACATGTACAAAATCACATGCTACAAACCAAACAAATCAATCATCAAGTAATCACATAGAAGATGCTCCGTTTGGCTCGGATGAATCAAGGGGTAGTAAATATGTATCTTCAGAAGGATTATTTAAACAAAATGAACCAATATATGCAAAAGTAAGACTTTTGATCACTTTCTCATGTCATATATCAGTTCTGTGAATTTTTAATGACCTGTGTTTTCATTTTTTTTAGCTCCACTGTCGACCTTGTCGAGCGGAGCTTATCATATGAGTGATTGTCCGTCGATGTCCGTCGTTCGTGTCAACTTTTTACCTTTTTGACTGAATGGGTTGATACTTGGTGTACATGTACCTTGGGTAGACCTCTATTAGATTTGTTCATTTCATGATGATATCTTCAATTCTCTAATTTTGGTGAATATTTTTGTCATTTTTGGTAAAAAGTGATATTTTCAACTTCTTGTTAAAAACCGTCCAATTGCTTTGATATTACATATATAGATGCTACACATACATGTTGACCTTTCTGAGATTTGTTCATTTCGTGATGATATCTTTAATTCTCTAATTTTGATTAATATTTTTGTAATTTTTAGTAAAAAGTGATATTTTGACTTCTCGTTATTGTTCAAAAACCATGTCAACACTCATTTGAAAGTTTTAATTTTCTCTTATACAGGGTAAACTACGTCGCCAACATTTACATGTTCCAGGTTATTGACGTTACACTTTCCTTTGTTTACATTGTATGCAGAAGTGCCATAGTGCGTGGTAGAATCTTATAACTCACACAAAAGTTAGCGTAGCACAAAACATTTTTCATTATCATTTTATAATCTCTCCATAAATTATTTTAATAATAATAAAAAGTAGAAAGAAGATGTACATAAATGTATGATATTATTGTTATCACAAGAATACCACTAAGTATACAAGAAGGCAGTATCGGTTAGTTGCTATGATCACCATTCTGGTTTTCTGTCTACTTTATAGTATTACCTGTGATATCTCCATAATACCTCTAATATATCCCTAGCTCTGTAACCGTTGGTACTAAGCACTACAATAATTTTTATTATATTATACTTTGGTTGTCTTCTTTTTGACCCCATCGTTCGATATGCAAATGGAAGTTATAAAATTTTCTTTTTTTTTGTCTCTTTAGATATAATTATAAAGTTATACACAAAATACCAGAGTTTACATCTGAGTGTATTAAATGCTAGTGTATTGTACAGTATCTTTGATGTACGATGCAATAATACGATGGACATAAATTTGTTTATTTTGTGAACAATTCTGTTATTATCAAGTAGAACCATGCCCTTAAATTTATCCACCCTTGCCTGTATATACTCATGGGGACTATGTATTTTATGCCAATAGGTAAATAAACAAAAGAAAGTGAATGCTGTAAGCACTTCTGAACCAACAAAGACAGAACCAAGGAACTTGTTTTTATTTCGTCATGCAGAACGAGTTGATGTGACATTCGGTCAGCAATGGCTGCAACTCTGTTTTGATGGAACAGGTACGTTATGTACATTACTCTAATTTCACAAGAAATCAATTTTTCACAGTAAATATTTCACTGAAGTAACAATAAGCCATGTTGTCAGATTTTTTTTAAATCATAACAATTTAAGATTTTAAATGTCAGTGCCATTTTTGCTCCCACCTAACGTTTTGTCAAATTTTTAATAACTCTTCTATAATTTGACAATGTTAGACCAAATTGACTCAATTTTCTATTGCCGAAAAATCCTACCCCAAAATATTTAGCCTTCAAAAAACGTTTGTTAGTCACTGTCTGATGTAGTCTGAAACGTACTGTAAAATTCTTTATTTTAGCTCGAATTCATTGTTTCTGAAATGACATTTTGACTGTTTTGTTCGGAATTTATTTTTACTGATTTCAGATGAAATAAATACAGAAAGAAAAGCTATATTCACTGGATTTTATTTTCATTGAATCATCTTTCAGTAAAAATAAACTATTTTACACTGACGGGTTACTGACTCTATTTCATACAAAGGCAAGACATGAAGTTGTTAATATGCATATCAATTTTTTTGTTTCTATCAAATTTTCATTTGTATTCCAAATGTGTAATTCAGGCAAATACTAACAGGGACTATGTCATCAACAATGACTTGTATCTTTCATAGATGTTCGTCACTTTCCCAAATGTATAATTCAGGCAAATACTATCAGGGACTATGTCATCAACAATGACTTGTATCTTTCATAGATGTTCGTCACTTTCCCAAATGTGTAATTCAGGCAAATACTAACAGGGACTATGTCATCAACAATGACTTGTATCTTTCATAGATGTTCGTCACTTTCTTTTAATTAGGTAAATATATAAGGAAGAATTTAAACATGCCACAAACAGTGCCTAATAGACAAGGTGGTGTTAAGTCCTTCAGTCGGGATTCCCCCATAACAGAGATTGGTTTGTTCCAAGCAAGACTAACAGGTAATTTAATTATGTTGTAATTATCTCTTGTTCCTCTTGCATTGTTTATATGCGAGATTGGTTGTTATGAACCACATCACTCTTAGATAAATTAGGCATTGTATTCCTGCTAGGAAGTTGAGCCAAAATTGAAATTCAAATTTGGGTAAAAAATAATAATGTTCGCACACCCAGTTAACATGATGACTGACACAAAGACATTAAATGCAAATAGAAACCAGGATGTGGTTGAAAGGGAGTAAGCACGAAGACTTGTTTTTGCGTTTGCATCATGTCCATGCTTTCAAATACCATATACCGTATTTATCCGGGTATAAGCCCAGGGTCCTGAACATGAAAAATTGCCAAAAATAGGGGTGGGCGAAAACGAAACGAAAATTCACGAAAATTGACAACACGCAGATCAAACTGCGACAGGGAATAGAACGGCAAATTAAAACATGCAAC